ACTTCCGGATCTCTTTATTTCGAATTCACAATGAATTAATTGAATCTGATTACATTTTCTTTTCTTTTCTTATATCCTTATGAATAGAGAAATTATACTTCTATTGTTTCATGATCAAATTCAATTAACACAATTGTAAATAGTATAAAGGAAACAATTTTGATTTAATTCGATTAGTTATTTACGCTGAAGAAATGACTTACATTAAGTCACGAAACATTGTCCAGAAATACAGTTTTTATCAGAATTGGGTTGTAGAGATTTTAGTTAATTTATGATTGAGATCATGAACTATGTACTAACTAGTGACTAACGTCATGAGGAAATTCTTGAAGTTCTTGTGAGAAGCCGTGACCAGTAGAACTAATCGGTGTCGGGTAGAGATAGGTATCTACTTAAATACAATGGAAGATGGTTGTGCAATTTGGTGGATTGGTTGGAGTTAAACATTAACACTGTTGGGTCTCGACTGGCTCAGTGGTCTAGAGATGAAGCGTTCGTGCGCGAGACTGGAAGTCGTGGGTTCGAGTCTCGCTTACAGGATCGTGGATACACACTGCTGAAAAGTCCAACAATAGGACGAATCGGCAGTCCAGTGCTTCCAAGTTTTTTTTATGGTGATCTAGCTTCAATTGACTCATGATCTCAACTATTGAAATCACTACAATCTCCACAAAACCCCTTTTGATACCAAAAAAACATATAATGTAATATCATACACAGAAATATGACTTATAACAGAGTACGCAATTGAGTTTAAAAGTATCGTTAGGTACTCATAGTAACATTTATTGAGAAAAGAAAAAAACAAGTCTCTTGATCCAATCAAGAGGACAATACGAGTATTAAGATTAACAGGTCAAATTCGATGTGTCATATTTTGATATGAGATCTAGTTGTAATACCTGTTTAGAGGTTGAAATAAGTTGAATAAGTTTCAAATCTGCCCTATCCTAGTCATTGACAATCTACTAGTCTAATAATAAAATTGTCACTCTGAATAACACAATCTAAACGATAGATTCTTTAGATACAGCAGTCCTGTAATAGTTCAGGTGAGATCTCAACAATTCAGTGATAAAGACCATAGGGAGGATCAATTTACTCAAGTTTCTTGGAAGAATATCATGGTATGAACTATGGAAAAAAACAGGTAACACTAATCAATAATCTTCAAACCGACAACTTTCAATCACGTTAAAATACATATTACATAATTCAAGTATATTTTGTGTATTATAAGTTGGAATTCTTTGTGCTTATTAGTTTCTAGTCTGTGCACAAAATACTATGTATAGGACGAAATGGCCATTCAGTGCTTCCAAGTCTTCAATGGTAGTCTAATATGGATCGGTTCATGATCAGTATATATTGACTACCTCTTTATAGGTCAATCAGTTTATGTTAAAAAGTATTTTCAATTATGATTAATCTCTGCAAATTACTGAAGTAAATACTACAATATTCAATAGTGACTTTTCTATTAAAGATGATCCTACCACTGAATGCCCTATTACGGCCGAAGGTGAAGAGAGTCACCTCTCTCTTTCGAAATGCTCTCACATGGTCACCTCAATACAAACACTGATATGGAAGTCCTACTAACTTCCTTCTCGTAACATTACTCTTGTTTACGAAATTGAGAAGACGGAACGTGAATGTTCGGCGCTTTAACTGGGTTGCTGAGTACGGAGGATTCACCTAGGGGAGTTGATAAACCCTGGTTCCAAACTAATGGTGTACACGGGCTCTAGGAACCTGAAACAAACTACTACTAGTAGTACTGTAGTGAACAGAACACGGGTTGGGACAATCGAATGTATTTGACACAACATTATAGGACTTGTTAATAAAATCTAACAATCAAATAGTAAATAAGTTCGTACATTTTCATACAAATTGCATCCCGTTTCCATTCTTTACTGTTCGATCCTCTTGCCTGTTTGCTGACAGACATTCTGTTCACGACTCACATCATCTACTACTTATGTCAATATAAGTAGCACACAACGCACTACTACTGCTACTACTACTACTAATAATAATCATAATAATAATATGTGTACACTTGTCCATCCATTCACTTGGAAAATACAAGTACTTTATGTATGTGTAAGACCAATTTTTTGGTGCCTTTATATTGTCATTTTCATTAATTTTCTGTATTAAAACGCATTGAAATGATTTCTCACTGTTATACATGCATATATACTAGTAACCCCCCCTCTTTCTCTCTTTCCCTAATATTTTTTTAACACAGTTACCAATATTATAGTAATTTCAATGATGCAAAGAATATGTCAATAAAACTTTTGTATTTAAATTCCTATAGTTACTATAAGTGGTTATATAAGAAAGGAAGTACTTTCATCAAATGAGTATTTTAACAAAAGTTAGACATGAACACTATTGGATGGCCATTTAGAAATTTACAGATTAAGTGTTCGCCAGCGAAACCGAAGGTTCTGAGTCCAAATCTTGCGAGGTGAGATCATAGATGTTCACTTCTGAAAAGTCCTATACTAGGACGAAACATCCATTCAGTACTTCTAGATTTCTCATGATAGTCTAGCTTTAATCGATTCATGAAATTCAACTATTATATTATAATCAAAAGGGGGAATTTGTGGAGATTTTATAAATTTCACTGGTTGAAATTATTAGTCAATTGAAGCTAGACCATCATGGAAAACTTGGACGAAAACGGCCGTCAAGTGCTTTCAAATTTTCCATGGTGATCTAGCTTCAATTGACTTATTATATTATAAATCAATTTATGACAGAAATAAGTAATTTAATGATCTTTTATTCCGTGTTTATTCCAAATTTAAATATACAGTGAGACGATCATTTATGGATGACTGTTGAGCGACGCCAAAGTGACCTACTTATACTAAGGCTAAATGAGGATTATAAAACAGTTTGAAGAATAAGAATTATGATTCATAATTGATGATTCGAGTTAGGAATGAACTGACATCAGCTATAATGCCAAGACTCTATTTTTAACCAAATGGTTGAATGAATTCCGCGTCAAAATCTAAGACCTGTTATCCTAATTCTGATTGGTTTGTTCATAAATTATAGTCTCATCAAGTATACTTTATTTATTAAAATAAACAAATAGATTGGTAAATTTCTTTATTAGATTTAATATTCGACAGTAAATTGATGTGTTAATCATTGAAATTATGGATTGATCTAAATTAGACAATCATAGAATATCTGGAAACACTAGATGATCATTACATTATATTGAAGAGTTTCAAGAGGAAATATCTGGAATTTTAATACGAAGCTATGACAAGTAAAGCTCAGTCATGTTATGTATGTAAATGGTACTCATTGAAGACAATCGAAGATAATCACTCAATATCATGGTTTGATTAAATTTGGATTTGTATAGGATTAAACGTTAATTCAGTGGTGTAGGGATTAAACGAGACAGAAGGCTTTAGGTTTGATTATCGGTTGAAGGGTCGTAGATACTCAGTTCTATACTAAAAAGAAACGCGTGCCCGGTGTTTCCAAATTTTTAAAGGTTAGTTAACTTAGATCGGTTCGTCATGTCAATAAAATTCAACAATTGCCATAATCCCATATTAATGGCATGTTTATGTTGAATAATGGACTAATTTGTTTGTGTGACTAACAATTACAGTCAAAAAGCTTCATTCTATCTTATTTGAGACTTATCATTTGGATCTACCTGTATAGTAATGTTAATATTCTAATTATATAAACTAATATTTCACTCATTATTATAGATAACACTATAGAGTTTGCGTTATTGGCTATTACAAATGACTTTATTGATGGTCATTTCATCGCTGGCTGTTATCTATCCCAACTATAACCAGAATGTTATTGTGGACAATACCAAAGGCTGGACGGCCGTTTCGTCATATTGTGGTACTCCTCATCAGTGTGCATCCACGATCCCGCACTAAAGGGACTCAAACCCAGCACCTTCAGTCTCGCACTGGAACGCTTAACTTATAGACCACTGAGCCAGAATCCAACGGTGTTAATGTCTAACTTCAATTAGTCCACGAAATTGTGCCACCATCCGCGAGACCGATAGCTCCTAGTTTCGAATCAAGGAGTGGTGGACAAATATTTTACCAACTCTGTATTCAATAGCTTGAATACTTACCAAAGACTTTGAAATTTTCAGATTTGTTCCATGTTGACATTACTGATGCTTATCCTCGATGAAGTTTCGCATTACAATGAGCCAGTTGTTCAGTACTCTCCTACATTCAACGACTATTATTATTATTATTGAATTAAAATAAACAGACATGTTGTTTAAAGTTGTTTTCTGATAAGACTTTCATGAATAGAGTTGCTAAGCCGTTTATATTTACACTAAATATACTGATTATTGTATAATCTTAGCAAATAAAACACAATGAATTTTTCCTGCTCTGTCATGCAGCAATTCGAAAAACTTTCCAGGTCTCCCACATTGTACAAGCATTTCACATACCTTAATTAATGATTACTCTGGTTGTCAGAAGGGGCATCAGCCTCATGACTTCCGAAGGAACTCTGCTTTCATCATGAAGTATCATAGCTCTTCTGAATAAAGATCTTCTAACTGCCAGGGAAGAGTTTAAATGGTTTGAATTATTTTTGCTGGTTAGCGTTTTTTTTTAGCGAGTTAGTTTTCTACTGGAGGGGGTCGCTAACCCCATGCCCAACCCTTCTCCTTTATCCGGGCTTGCGACGGGCAGTAGCCCCGATTGGGCTCCAGGCGGAGACATCTTATAATATTAAAGGAATTTCGTATTGTTTCGTTGAAATTTAAAAAAGAAATAACGATTCAACAATTTATAGCCTACAAATATTTTCTACTCAATTTCAATCTTTCTTTTTTTTTCTTTTTACTTTGATGTCATTTCTTCTTTCCGTTATCATCTCCTTATCTACCTCCCTCCCTACCTACCATACCTCCCTCTCTCTCTCTCTGTATGTATTTCTCTTTTGTTTTGTAGTCATGGATGAGTGAAATCAATGCAAATATACAATCAAATAATAATAACAATATACTTATTATATTAGTTGGGAATAAATTAGATGAAGAAAGAAATCGTATGGTCACTAAAAAAGAAGGTGAACGTTTAGCTCAAGTAAATGAATATTATTTTATTGATAATTATATATTGTTTTCTTTAATCAAATTTGATTATTTATAGAATATAATTATAAATTTTTACAATTAATGTACTTACACATGTTACCCCCTAATCGAGTAAAGGTCGCCGATTAACATTCTCCAACGCGCTCTGTCCTGAGTCTTCCTTTCTAGTTCTATTCAATTGTCGTTCATTCTTCTCATGTCTATCTCCATTTTACGGCGTAATTTGTTCTTTGGTCTTCCTCTTCTCCTTCGGATTTGAGGATTTTAAGTGAGGGCTTGTGTTGTGACACAATTGGGTGCTTTCATCAATGCGTGTCCTATCCACTTCCAGTGCTTCTTCCTGATTTCTTCCTCTGTTGGAATGTGGTTTGTCCTCTCACATAGTAGATGGCTGCTAATAGTATCTGGCCAACGAATCCGGATTATTTCGCGTAGACAGCTGGAGCCCCTCTGGGGCTACTGCCGGTCCCAATCTCGGATAAAGGAGAGGGGTTGGACATGGGTTTAGCGATCACATCCTGTAGAAGACTAACTCGCTAAAAAAACTAACCAGAAAAGTAATTCAAAGGATAAACATCAATGGTGATTTTGAAAAAAGTACAATACAAATATGACATAAACCTCACGCTATTACACAAGCTAGTGGCTGTCTGAACTCAGTAGTTACGTGGATAACTTGATAACATTTGGAGAGAACGGTACTGAGTTCAACTCCCAGTGAGCACATTAACTCTGGGATGTAGGTACATCCAGATGACATGTTCTAAACAGGACGGAACATAAATCCTGGATTTCACTACTAGCCACTATTCATCTCTGATTATGTAAGATGTACTATTGAAGAGTTCCATAATGTGACATAATAATTATTCCTTACTCTTTGATTCTCTAGCCAAAGTCAATTTTTGAATGCAAATCAAATTTAAAACATGAATAATAGAAAACTTACATAGTTGTTCAATGGATTACCTCTAGTTATATGACCATTAAAAATCGGAAAGCATTGGACTTCTTTTTCATTCTATCATGAACCTCTATAACAGTGTTTATCAACCAACTCATCACAGATAAAACCTAGTACCATCATGTCTCATTGCGAGAATTTATTCTTCAGACCATCGAGCCAACGCTTAATTGTTCATATGTTTAACTTCAACATATTGAGTGAATTGGGTTTGAATCTTATGAGAACCTCTAGTTTCTTTGCTGACATTTATCAAAGCTCAAGTCATTTCAAATTTTTTCGGAGCGAGAAAAGTGGTTGCCATAGATATAGAGTTCATCGTTTGTGTGTGGGCTGTGATACTGCCCGGGTGCCCAAACCGAAGCAGGCGGTTTTATTAGGGGGCGGCCACTCCCCGAGCCTTCGACCTGAAGGTCTGATACACAAGGCAGTGGAGCATCGTAAGGAGATGTAGTCACATGGAGGCCGGTGACCAACAATTAGTTCATACGCCGTTTGTTCCTTCAGGATACTGAAGCCCATGTGCACCATTGGTTTGGAATCCGGTTAAAGCACCGAACATTCGCCTTTCGTCCTCTCATTTTCTTAAACAACAGTAATGCCACGAGAAGGCAGTGAGTAGGACTTCCTTGGCAGAGGCTTTATACGCGTGACTGCGAGAGTATTTCGAGAGGGAGAGTGGACTCTCCCCACTCTCGGCCGTACCAGGGCATTCGGGGGCCAGTGGCGATCCTGCTGTAACCTTCTTTCTTTTTCTTCATAAAAAGTGATTCTGTCTCCCTTACCTGAAAGATTTCTTCCGATTGTACCTTTGCGTTCCCTGATTACTAGCACATTACCTTACACCAATCTCTTCGTTATTGTTCTCTCTTTTTTTTTGTTGCGCTCCTTAGCTTTTTTTTTCTTTCTTTGTATTCCTCTTGAATTTTCATTGTTTTGTGTGGCGCATATATATTGGCGCTCTCTTGTACCAATATTCATGTGTCCAAATAAATAAATAAATAACATTTCAAATTTATTACTCAATCTCTTTATTCATGAAATACTTCATAAAATGTATTTCTGTCCCAAGTTACTCAATAGGATGATTACATTTTGACTAGACTGAAAGAATTTAATTAACATTGTGGTCTAAACACCGTCAAAGATTGGTATATATTAATATCAGACATTGTTTTTGTTGATAGTATATTAATTTCAATAGTTGAGATTATGAATTAATTGGAGCTAGATCACCATAGGAAATCTGGAAGCACTGGATGGCCATTTCGTCCCATTGCGGGACTCCTCAGCAGTGCACACCCATGATTCTACCTCACGAGATTCGAACACAGGATCTATCAGTCTTGCGCGTGAGCACTTAACCACTAGATCACTGAGTCGGTATTCAACGGTGTTCATATATTAACCAATTATAAAGTAAAGAACTCAATACCACTATATAACTGTGGTAAATTGAATAGCTTTATAAAAATGTCATTGATCTATATTCTATGGTTAGCATACATTTTATCAAAATTTCAAAGACACGTCACTTGAAGGTATTAACTATCAACCTGTCCTTATCTATAGTTAGTACATTCGACTTTCATCCACTAAATTATGGGTTCGAAACCCGCTTCATCTACTTCAATTTGATTAACCTTGTAGTATTACTCGTCCGAATACTTAGAATGTGATTCAAAGCCAAGTATACACACATTTATACATGGTTAACAACTGATCATAATCATTCATTTCATTAAACTCAATTTCTCTCATTTGTTGTTGATTTATTCATAACTATCAGTTTATGAAATAAATGAGAAAGGTTTCACGTGTTGACTGTTTTTTTCTCTCTCTACACTGTTTCTTTTTTTCATAAATTAATCAATCAATCAATCTTTCTATTGTCTACCAGGGATAATAATTATTGCTATAGGTGGATATTTTAGTGAATTGGTTTGTTTGTTTGTTTGGTTGGTTGGTTGTTTTTCTTTAGGCTATACAGAAATTTATCACCAACAATAATAAACTATAATCAGAGAGGCGTTTTGGAGATATTATAGTAATTTAATTACTGAAGATTTGGGTCGATTGGAGTTAGACCACTATGGAAAACGTGGATTGGTTGAAGTTAGATATTAACACCAATCGATACCGACCGTTTTTAATGGTATAGAGGTCAAGCACTTGCGCACCAGACTGATAGTTCATGGGTTCTAATCTCACGAGGCGGTATCCAAGATGCGCACTACTGAGGAGTCCCATACTAGGCCGAAACGGCCGTCCAATGCTTCTAGGTCTTCCATAGTGGTCTAGTTTCAATTGACTTATGATTTCAACTATTGAAATCTCCACAAACTCCTGATAATAATCAAATGCTCACTGGTGACTGACTTCAAGAGGCATTTCCTGGAGTTCTAGTAAGAATCCGTTACTAGTGAAGTTCAACTAGGTCTTTTGTGAGATATCAACTCACTGAAGACAATGGTGAACGATGGCGCGACTTCGTGGATTGGTTGAAGTCAGACATTAACACCGTTGGATGCCGGCTAAATGGTCTGATGGTCAAACGCTCGCGCGCGAGACTGATAGGTCCTGGGTTCGAATCTCGCGGTTGGAGAGATCGTGGATGCGCACTGCTGAGGAGTCCCATACTAGGACGTAACGGCCGTCTAGTGCTTTTAGGTTTTCCATAATGGCCTAGCTTCAATCAACTCATGATCTCCACCAAAAACCCCTTCTGATATTCATAACAAATTAACTGAGATGAATTCGGTTTCTATAGATTATAATAAATGGCTGTTTTATTAAGTAGTATAATAATAACCGATTATAATAATGACAAACACTATGACAACAATGATATATCCTAAAGAAGAATATACATTTCTCCTTTTTTTGTTGAAATTTATCAAATATTTTCGTTTTAAATTTGTTTCCCTATTGATTATTAGAAAAAAATTGTTGAACAATCGATTAGACAGAGAGAAATCGGTTCGATTTTTGTAATTCCATATGACAAATGACAATAAATTACCTCCGTTTTGTTTGTTTGTTGTTTCGATTAACTTTGATGGCTTATATATCATTAAGGTAGGTTTAATAAGAAATTTTGAAAACTTTGGGGGGTGCTATGAAGTTATGCAAAATTGTGCACGGAAGACAGTTGACAAACTCGTTTGAAGTAAAGACCGGTGTTAGGCAAGGTTGCTTACTTTCACCTGTTCTCTTTCTGCTGGTGATCAACTGGATCATGAAGACGTCAACATCTGAAGGGAAACACGGGATACAATGGACAGATAGGATGCAGTTGAACGATCTAGACTTCGCAGATGATCTGGGCCTTCTATCCCAAACGCAACAGCAAATGCAGGAGAAGAAGACCAGTGTAGCAGCAGTCTCAGCAGCATTAGGTCTCAATATACACAAAGGGAAAAGCAAGATTCTCCGATACAACACAGCATGCACTAATCCAATCACAATTGACGGAGAAGATTTGGAAGATGTAAAAACCTTTACATATTTGGGCAGCATCATTGATGAACATGGTGGATCTGATGCAGATATGAAGGCGCGGATCGGTAAAGCAAGAGCAGCATATTTACAATTGCAAAACATCTGGAACTCAAAACAACTGTCTGTTAACCAACACCAAAGCCAGCATTTTCAATAGAAATGTGAAGACAATTCTACTTTTTTTGGCGGAAACCTGGAGAACTGCGAAAGCCATTATCTAGAGGATACAGGTGTCTATTAACAGTTGTCTACGCAAAATACTTCGGACTCGTTGGCCAGATACAATTAGCAACAACCTATTGTGAGAGAGGACAAACCCGATTCCAGTGGAGGAGTAAATCATGAAGAAGTTCTGGAAGTGGATGGAACACACACTGAGGAAAGCACCAAACTGTGTCACAAATCAAGCCCCCGCTTGAAATCCTCAAATCCAAAGGAAGAGAGGAAGATCAAAGAACAAATTACGCCGAGAAATGGAGATAGACATGAGAAAAATGAACAAGAATAGGATAGAACTAGAAAAG